CCCCCAGATGTACTGGCTTGAATTTTATATTGTTATCCCTAGCAATATTTGTAACGGTTTTCGGTCCCATTGTGTTGCATCTCTATCCATACCACCTCCCAACTTGGTGCCATCTGTGAGTTTAATTAATGTGCTTTATTACACGCTCTTCCTAACAATAAAGAAGTCTGTCAATCCTTGGATCATATACCTTCTCCCCCTTTCTTCTGAATCATGTGTTACTGTTCCAGAAATCAAATGATCAAATCTACTGTATTCCCTTCATTTACTAATTTTACATTATAATCAAAATGAGGCTGGCCTTATTTATTCTTTGTAATTTTCTGCTGCTTATTTTTCATATTTTGTTTCCCTTCAGATGCTTACAAGTACTCTCTTGTTCCCCCTTTTGCCCCCCCCCCATTATTTTACTAGGGATTGAGAATGTAGGTTTACAAGACACAAACATACAACTAGCAAATCAGAATATCCATCTTTTTCAATATATCCTGCCTCTAACCACCTGTCAGGTTCAGATACTTCAAGAAAACCCAACAGACAATCATGGAATAACTTACCCAAAGTAGACAGGATACTGGGTTGGATGGACCTTTGGTCTAACCCAGTATGGCCATTCTTATGTTCTTATCCTAGTGGAGAATGACAGGCACACCAAACATTTGCTCAGTATAAGTGATTCTCCTAAGCAGAAGAGGCACCTAACTGTGCCCAGATTTTAAGGGGATTAACTCATCGCAGGATGGACAGAGCTTGAAGCCCACAGGCTTAGAGTCTGCCATATCAAGGGGGCAGGTCTAACCATCAATCCTTGATCCAGACAAGTAGATATGATCACAGCAGTCATAAGTCAAGATAAATCAGATGAGCTATGAAGGTTTTTAGAGGATTTGTAGAAGGTTTAACCAAAAACTAAGAACTAGTGGGTCAGAGACTTGCTAGGTTCCATCCTGCTGCCACCGGCGGTCACCCTTTCTTTTATGCCTTTGTATGGGAGCATCAGGAGGCACAGGGAACGTGTGAGACCATGATGGACACTGCTATTCAAAAAAAATCCAATCTCTCACACAAGGCACATGTGCATCTATGGCCAGATCTACACTGACACATACTTGAACTACACTCTTCTCTGCTTTGCCTTTCATTTTAGATATCATCACGCACGCACACACACACACACACGAGTGAATTTGCAGGAGCCAACAATTTAAGTTGTTCAACAACAAATACAGCCCACTGGGGAGACGTACTCTGGTTTGTGATGGCTCAGGTAAGGTTTGGTTTCACAACAGCCATAGTTTTTTAGTGTATTGAAATATGCTAAAGTTAATTTTTAAAAGTGTCACAATTCATCATGTAATCTGGGACTGAAATATATCCTCTTAATGATTATACAAGCAGCTAAGAACATTTCTAACTTGTTATCTAATGATGTTAGGAGATGATTATGTCCCGGGTAAATTTAGAAGGCTTTTCCTCCGATAAATCATTAATATAACATATGTATACATGTATATCCCTAAATAGAAAGACAGCACATTTAAGGGATTTAAATTAAGTTAAATTTAAGGGATTTAAATTAAGTTAATTAACCTCAAAAAACTGTTTCCTTAGCTAACATTATACAAGTTCCAGATGCCACTGAATTGTTTCTTGAGCAGCCTCAATACTTTTCCATTCACCTCTGTGCCAATAAAGCCATTTCATTCATTTAGGTTCTCTAGGAACAGTGCTTCTTGCCTCCTGAAATTGTTTATTTTTATCTTTAATTTCAGTTAGTTTTTTTTCATTATTCAGTTTGAGTTACTCCATGAAAAGAATTAATCCCCCAGGGCTCAACTGTATCCAAATGAGGGGGGAGGGATAGCTCAGTGGTTTGAGTGTTGGCCTGCTAAACCCGGGGTTGTGAGTTCAATCCTTGAGAGGGCCACTTAGGAATCGGGGGCAAAATTGGTCCTGCTAGTGAAGGCAGGGGGCTGGACTCAATGACCCTTCAGGGTCCCTTCCAGTTCTATAAGATAGATAGGATAGGTATCTTTTGATAGAGAACTCTCCATTACTTTACATATGCTACCAAAATGCTGCCAAATTTCCTGCAGTATCCTTGTCCATCTCAGACACAGCACAACCTTGTACTTGATCCGATAGTACAGAGGACTCGGTGACATAGCACACCAGGTCATTCCGTCAATCAAACCCACTTCTCTCTAGGTGAAATCCTAGCCCCATTAACGTTAGTAGAACCAGGATTTAATCTTCTGCCTCCGTCCCTATCCCTATACTCTGACAACAACTAGTATGGCCTAATCCTTTCAGATTTACTGTTACTCACATCTACCCTTTTACTCCTCCATTAGACACACTGATTATGTAGCATCTCCTCCCTCACTCCTTGGATGGCAGGGGTGTGTGGTTTGAGGGAGAGTAGGGGACATGAAGTGTGGATGGTGTCACCCGGATTGTAGGGGATACAGGTATTGCTGTGCAATTGCTCTGGCTGCATTAAAGAAGTGCTGGATTTTAGGACAATGCAGTCTGGCTTCTTTCATTCACATATCCCTGATACTGCCTTTCATAAACACAGAGTTTCCACCATGGCAACCATGGATGGCAACTCTCCAGCTGGGAGAATAGAAGTTTAAGGTAACTTCCAAAGCAGATGGTCTCTAATGGCAGAATAATGCAGCAGTCACACTATCAGGGCACTGGCATTGCCTGTATACATGAGCTACTTTAAGAAAGAAAATGAAGCAAAATAGCTGAGAAATTTTAAAATATATATATTTTTTCAGATTAATTTGATAGAATGGTGAAATTTAAACTGAGAATTGTCTTTTAAAACATAGCAGCACTGAGGTAACTATAAAAGGATAGCAGCGCTACAGCACAATTGTCAGTCTCTCCCTGGGTTTACAGGGCCTGAATGGCTGGCAAGCTTCCTGGCCTGTTGTTCTAAGCCGCACAGAAAGCTTTGCACCACCCCCAGCATCACAGTTTACTCATTTTATCTGTGGCGGAAGGGGAGGCAGAGGGGAACAACAATAACATTGGCTGCACTGTTCGCACACCAATTCTTCTGACTAATCCACGAGAAGCATTAAGAAGGGATCAGGCTGCAGCTCAAACTCCACAGTTTAAAAGTAAACTGAGCAGGAATGTGCAAGAAGAAGTAAAAATTACTCTCTGTAATTAGGTTTTTCATAACTTTCATAACTTTAACATTTCAATATTTTGTCCCAATTTGTGATGAAAAACAAACGTCATAATTTCCTAGGGGACGGAAATTCTGATTTTCCACCAGCTCCCTACTGAATTTATTATGGCAACTGAGTAAGAGTTTGTTCGAAAGAAAAAACAAATCTGATTTTCATCTGCAACATTTTATTTAAATTAATTATATAAAATAAGAAGACTGTCTACGGCTTTGTCTACGTTGCCAATTGAACGACAAAACTTTTGTCGTTCACAGGTGCTCAAAAAAGCACTCCCCCCCAACCCCCGAAGGACAAATGTTTTGCCACGGCAAGTGGCAGTGTAAATGGCTCGTTGTTGGCAGGAGCGCTCTCCTGTTGACAACGCGAACCCTACTCGTAGGGGGTGGAAGTATTTTGTCAGCAAAAGTGCCGACAAACAGCGTTTACACTGCCCGACTTTTAGGGACACAGCCGTGTCGCTAAAAGCTGTGTAGTGTAGACAAAGCCTAAGATCCAGCATCATTACCCTCTCAGAAAGTTAGAGAGGGCACAGAAGAGGAAGTAGAGCTGGAGACCAGCTGATAGCCTAATGCAGAATATCAACTCCAAAGATCTTATGAAGATTCTCCCATTCCAGTGGAGAACAGTCTTCAGATAAAAGACCAAGCAGAAAAAAAATGTTACATTTGAGACCATTTTTATATATTGTAAATGGCAGAGAGAATTTTTTGCTTCTGCTTCAAAACCTACCTTAAAAATAACAATGGAAAAAGACAACGGGAGCCACCTGGAAGTGTTAGTGGGTAGTGATAAAATGTTTGCTCTGATTACAGGTCTCTGAATCCGCATGCAAAGGGATGTATGTGAAATCTTTTACTCAGCTATGTGAAAAATTTAGCATAGAGATCAGAATTTCTTCTTTACACGATTATCTCACACCTATTTATTCATGCTATGGGTTACATATAACACTTCTGAGACTACCTTTAACTGTAGAAAAGATACCTAGAGTGGATCTGGCAGTCTATAAAATTCAGTGTGTTTTGTAGGGAGTCAAGTGAACTGATGGTCCTCAATGAATTAATAATAAGCCTACTGGTCCATCCACCTCTGAGATGCTGCAAGGAAATAAAATTATACATGCTAACAGCTGTTTAAATATATATAATTGATGAACGAACAAAATCTCTTGGGTATGCCACTGATTATTCACATATCTGGAGCAATTACAGTGTGAAGAGTAACACCGCTGTTCCAAATGCAAATAGCCAATAACACATGCAACCTAATGGGGTCAAATCAGGACTGCATCAACAATTTCCTCAGTCAGTCTGCATTCTGCATATGCACTTAAGTGTAATGCTTTGAATGTGACTTAGGAGTTCAACTTCCCCTTCAATTCCTTTCAGAGTTTCAAATACTAAGCTCTGATACAAACCTCCTGATCATTCACTTTATTTCCTTTAGTCACATTTTGTTAATACCTCTCGATTTAGCAACACTGCAAATTTAACAGACAGACATTTACTCCCTCTTGCAGGTTATTAATGAAGATTTTAAATAAGACTGGACCTCGTACAATTACATTTCACTACACACCTCACTGTTTAATACTTTTCTCTGTATTCATTTCATTCTGGCTACGGTCCCTCAGCCAGAGTTCAGTCGATAGGACAATGCGCAGATCCAAGCCAATATCAACTCATTTTGAAAGTACATTATTTTTGAGAGACACTGGTATCAAATTGTCTGCTGGTTCAGAACCGAACATACCACTTCGAAGCATTCTTAGAGCATGCAAACACATACCTTGCTTTTTTCTTGCTGGAATTCTATCTGGATGTTGGTCAGTTTAATCCGTAGTTCCTCATTAGCAGCCTGAACTGCTTCTATCTCCATGTCGGACCTCTCTCCCTTGGCACGGCTTTTCTTGGACATAGTTATTTTTAAAGTTTACAATAAAAATCCCTCACGCCACACTGAACCAATAGCCAAGCAGCCTTCTGTGCTAGACATTAACAATTCAAGTAGTCCTCAACACAGTCCTGCATGTAACACTTTTCCATCATGGCTGATTTCTTTCATATCCTGAAAGAAACAGAGAAGAAGAAACAGACCTATTAGACTGCAGCACTGTTTGACAGAATGAGACATCAAACAAAATGCATATCATGGATTATAAAACAAATGTGTGTTACTTCAAGCAATTACAATTACATAAAAATGTACAGTACTTTTCTCTAGCATACCCAGTAAGTTACAGTATACTATGCTTTTATAGAGGAGGAAAACAAAGACCTGAAAAGTAAAAGTTGCACATATGTAACTTTTCCCCCACACAACACCTCATTATCTAAATATGCACCCACTCAACCCCATTTTCCAGAAATTCATTTCCTTCTTGTCATGTTAAAGAGCAGATATTTACAAAAATATGAATCACTTCTTATTTAGGACCTGATCCTGAGAGAGGCTGAGCATTCACAACTGACATTGGGCCTGATCTTGTGTCAACTAAAGCCAGTGGGAGTTTGCCACTGACTTCAATAGGAGTCATTACATTTAATTCATGTTGTAAATAGAACAGGAAATTGTACAATATTAACTTAAAGTTCCATTAAACCTCTTGCCTTAATGGAGTCAGAAAATAAGTCACCATTAGTTATTATTTACAGAAACAATTCTGTAATTATAATAGTAATATATTAAAAGATTGCATATGCTATGGAAAATTGAATGCCACTGAAAATCAGATCCAAAAATACTAAGCTCCTTTAACTCCAGTTATATTCCCAAGCATGTCTCCAGGTAAAGTGTTTGTTTATTTAAATCAGATATTCCAGGAGTGTATCAATACCATACAAAGAACTCCAATTCCAAATAAATAGGAAATTGTAGATTCGTTTGCATACTGATTAGTTATAGAAACTAAATCTGATTTTCTTCCTGATCACCTATAGAACACCAAGTTATTCACAGAAAGCAGGAACACCAACACTTACTCTTGGCAGTGAATTAGTTGGCAAATTGACTTCCATTTTTTAAATATCCATTTAATCTTCATCACCAAATTATATGCCACAATTTTGGCATTCTTAAGGTATTTGCAATTGGACATGCAAATATTGCTTCGGTACCTAATGTGTTTGATATCAATTTTCCTTTCAAAGAATAAGCCGTGTTTCTCCCCACTTAAATCTATGTAGGAGTTAATTCAGGGGTTGCATGATTACCGAAGACAAATACAGTCTTTAGCACTTGGTGTTTGTATATAGTGTCTTTAATGTAAGGTTCTCAGACTATTCACAAACATTAACTTGTAATGTAACAACAAAAACAAAAATATGCAAGTATCATACTCAATTAACACATCGGTAAACAGATTTATAGGAGTCAAGTGACTTGCCCAAAGTAACACCTCTCTGCTCAGATCAGTAGCAAACAAGGAACAGAACCTTGGAATCCTGATTCCCAGGCCCTTGTTCTGAGTATTTGACTCAGTTGCCCATTAGGATCCAGTATAAATAGACCAGAGACTCCTTTTTAATTGACTGGAATTGAAAAAAAATGTTTTGTTTTGTAGTCCTACCCCTACCTCTTTCCAACCATAAAATCTCATTGTGACAGGGTAGTCTGCCCCTTAAAGGTACTAGTGCCTAGTTGTCAGTCCAGCCCCCAACATGTGGCATGGCCGTTTATGGATATAAGAGGTTCAATATAAGGATGGAACAAGGATATGGAGAGAGAGGAAGCTGTCTTGGGAGTGAGTGATGCTTGTCACTGTATCTTTAAGGATCTGAGGAGCCTTGCAGAGAGAGCATGGCAAGGCTCCCCTCTTACCCAAACAATCAGGGATGGGGACTAGCATACATCCTGCCTAGTCCCTCATAAAATACCAGCAGAAGGCAGCTATCAAACCCTCTGAGCCTGAGAACAACGTGGGACAGCGGAGGGAGAAGCTGGCTAAGGTCCTGCATTGGACTAAATTACAACCTGATGCAGGAGAACTGGGCACTCCTGGCCCAGCTCCAGGAGGAGAGCAGAGCTCTCTTGCCATAAGGGGAGAGAGAGAGACTGAGAAGTAACCCTGAAGGGACTGGGAACATGGCACAAGGGAACACCGTTTGTTTATTTGGGACTTTTGTTATGGGCTATTTTGTATGCGGTTTTATAATAAACCAGCCCCAAGGAGGGTATTATTGAGTCAAGAGCACCTGAAGTGGAGTTATTGAGTTCCTGAGATGGGAAACTGAGACAGGAAGTTCCTGGAAAGCCACACTTAGCCAGAAGAGGGTGCTGGAAGGCAGTCACAGCCTGTGACACCCATCATCTAACTATTCCATACAGTTAAATTTAATATGATTTTATATAAAGCAGTTCATAATGTAGGTAGCTTTAAAAAGCAATTACATACTCGTAGCGCAGCGATTCTAGAGGTAAATGCAAATTCAAGGCAAAAAAACCAAACTCCGTGTAACAAGAACCCTTCATGGAATAGGTGGCTCTTAAGGCTTTTTTTGCCTTTATGATGAGGATGATGATGATGATTAAAGGAGAACAGCTAGCTACTGCAGGTGATATATTCCATTATAGTCTAGATTAGAGATGACCCATAATCAAAACGCTGCCTACATTTGTGGGAAATTTGGATTCAAATTCAGTTTTAAAAGTTATAGTCCTCTGGGACCATCTTTAATGAAGAGGTTAAAATAAATCAAAGTGAGGTTGTAATTAGAAGTACTCTATGTCATGACAAAAGAATAAAAAATATTAATGAATTCCTTCTAAACTTGAAGGTAGACAGATTCTCCAAGGAGCTATTCCTGAAACCCATACCCAAGCAAAATTCCTACTGTATTTAGATATATGATTGAATTCAATGTGAATTTAGCCTAAGTACGAAAATCAAAATCACCCTCAAGTGTTTGGACTGCTAGAATTCTTTTACATCTCTCATCTGGTCTTTCATAAAATACCTTAACATGTTTAGATAAGAGTAAGAACACTTGAGCTACAGATATTTTAGTATGTAAATTCAGAAGTGGAATTTGTTCTTCTATCACAAAAGACAAAAACATCAAGGTAGCCTTATTTGATGTGGGCATACAGGAAATATGGAGGACAGAAACAAGTCAAAGTGAAGTGATGTTGATATTGTACTGGAAATTACCACGTACTTTTGAGTCAATAACTGTACAGTATCACTGTGCTCAGACTGAGCCAGAGCCATTCCATTTCAGTTGATTTAAGATATCCTCATGTGAAGGATGTGCCACGAGGATAAGATGTGGAGATATTATGCCACATTAAGACCAAACTTTTTAATATGGGTGCCTAAAGCGAAGCACTTAAATCCACATTTAAGCATGAAGCAGGTAGCCTGATTTACAGGGCTGCTGAACACGTACTGCTCCCATTGACTTCAAAATTCACCTCCAGTGAGTTCAAGCTCAACAACAGCTGCCAATACTCAAAACTTCCGACAAATCAGCCTACTTAATCTAGGGCCCAGGGCCGGCTCTGGCTTTTTTGCCGCCCCAGGAAAAAAGCCTCCGGCCGCCCCCCCCCCCCCCCACGGTCAGAGTTATATGTGTGTGTACTTTGAATGTATATTGCCTTGGCAGTACTTGAATACAAATTATATCATATGGCGAAAATGATGGAGGAAAAAAGTGAATTTGAAACTGCTCCCTCCCCCCCCCCCCCCCGGCAATAATTACAAGTTCTCCTTGCAGCAATAGTTTGTGGATTCTCAGTCTCTTAATTCCCTCTGCAGTGTAGAAACCATCACCCTTTTAATTAAAAGAAGCATGGAAGAAAAATGTAAAATAAAAGAAAAAAATCTTACAAAATGGTCTAAGATTCAACTGGTGACTTAAGTTTTTGGTTGGGGGGAAGGAAATGGGAAACATTTTATGTGGCCATCAAATCTCACCTAACCGGATTATTTTACAATAACTCTGCCAAGAAAAGATGGTGTCCAGTTTTCATACCATTCCAGTGATGTTAGTGATGGAAAATCCATTAGACTTCAGTGGTGTCAGGAAACCCCATCAGCTGAACATTATCAATCGATAGTTCCAATTTCTCTTCTTCCTACTTATCTTTTTATGGATTCAAAGGATGCACTCTGTCACCATCAGAAGCCATTCCCTGCTTCAGAACCATCACTGAAATGATTAATAGATGGTTCTAGACTTTTCTTCCTAAAAACAAAATGAGAAATTGCTGTATAATATGCCTAGCAATCTACAGATGTTAAACTTTAATGAAACATTTCAGCCACATGCTAACAAGTCCCTGATAAGTGCTGTGCTGTAGCTTCATAAATGTATTGTACCTTTATAAATACTATACAAAATGCAAGTTACAAAAAATCAATTTTTTCTCCAAAGGAGTGTGAAAAAGTCTAAAGTCCTAGGACTAATGTTTGCTTAAAAGTTACAAAAGCATGACTTCTATTGTGTCTCCTGTAAAAAAAAAACTCATTTCTAAAAAATCCAGAAGTATGCAAAGCAATTCTCTGCTGAACATACGAAATTTACATGGAGAGAAGTATATCTTTAGGGTACATGAGTCATATGCTTTCAAAATAGGAAATAGTGTGGTTGGCATGTCATTTTATGCCAACATGCAAAATTTACTAGAAATTTCCATGCAGAATTCAGAATTTCAGCCTTGATTTCAAAATTAACCAACACTGCTCAGATTCAACTTGATTTCTAGCAGGTAAAATTGTTAATTAGTCATCATGACTGAAATATTAGAACAAATAAAGAGAAAGGCAGAAAATGTGTGGGCAAGAAATAATGTCCGTTAAAAAGAATCTTCCTACACATCAGGCAAAACCAATTGCTGTTCTGTTTGTGACTAAACTGACAGGCAGAGAATGCCAATTCCATTTAAAAAAATGTCTCTTTTACCAGGATTTTTCCTTC